TAGAAATCCATAATTGCAAAAGAGATATAAAATTATTTACCCTTCCTATACATATCCTCCACCGTCAAATCTACTTTCGCTTTTTATTCTTTCCTTATAAGACAAAAGGGACTAAAATTGGGGCTCCGACAGGCAAAAATTTAGACGTCAAATGGGTTCAAGAGTTTCTCTTTCGTAGGCATTTAGTGTGTAAAAATTATCAATGTAATTTACCTGTGATCAATATATCGAGAGACAGAGCGTGCGTTGCCAAGATCTTGCCGTTGGGTGGTTGTGATATTGCGGAGTTGGCTAACAGTGCTAGAATACTGCTGCAGCGGTTTTGTAAGCTCAGAGTGTTACTGATCCTGGCAGCCTAGAGAAGGAAAAAGCCATTTAAGCACGAAAAAAAAGATAGATGATGGATAGAAGATGCTTATAAATAACCTTGTGAAGTCCTTCTAGGCATTGTATAGTGAGCCCCTCCCAAGCGATCCTCTTCCTCTTGCCGAAGGTGTGGATCTTCTTGGATATGATGCCCTGCAGCTTGTCCTTCCTGTTCCTGTAGCCCGTCAGCGGCACACTCAGTACTGTCACCATGGAGTCCCAGATGCAAGTCAGGATCCTGTAGAAAGAATTCTGGTATCAAAGTTTCACATCGAGGTGTCACTTTCAAGTCGAGTATAAATTTTTTAGAAGTCAAAAATAAGAAAGTATGATTTGAAAGACAAAAATAGTCGTTATTGGATCTATTTTTTTTTTTACAAAATCAGTGGGCTCCGTCTCCTAAACCAGTAATAACTGTGTATCAGGTGGCAGGGTCTACTCTAATCTATTATCTTGTGTTATAAAAAGTTAGTTGTTAGTTATTACACTATGAGGTGCAAGATATTTTAGATTGGACTGAAGATTGTATTAGAATTGACCTTCTGGCCCAACGCAAGCTGGCCTGGTGCTGCGGCGTGTCGTCGGCGCCGCTGTACAGCCGCGACACCTCCTTCAGGCGCTGCCAGTCCGACATCACCGGGCTCTGCTCCAGCCCGCCCAGGTCTGAACACATCACATAACATATAGCCTTTTATTATAAAGTTAGATTTAGTGTCTTCTTTCTTTCTTACTAATAAATGCGAAAGTTAAGATGAAAATTTGTTAGAGTTTGTAGACTAAACTGCTAAACGAATCTCGATGAAATTTGGATGTAGAGGATAATCTGGACTTTGTTTGGTTTTGTACTTGGTTTTGTTTTTTTATCATTCCACGCAAACGGAGTCGCGGGCGAAAGCTAGTTCTTACATACTTTTGAATAAGAAACATCGGCGATTTTACTAAGCGATATCTTACCAGATAGTAAATGTATGAGAGGATGGTCAGTTGTGGGGACATCCTTCAGTAAGTCGTTTGCGAGTATTTGCTGGTAAAGTTCTCTCAGCCACGTCGCTGACAAATACACTAGTACGCCGCTCCCTTGAACTTCTTCTACGAACTCATCCTCTGTTAATGGGACTTGTACTTTCTGTGGTAGAAGGAAATATTTTTTATTAAATGCTTAAGGCTCAACTATAGTTTTACCTCGCCTTTTTTATATTATGTGGGGATATACGAGCGAGTGGCCACATTCGCAATTGTAGATGCGTTGCTTACCCTTAATTGACTGAGGAAGAAACGCACATAAAGAGGATATTTCCCATATATCTGCGTATCCTCTACCATCAAATCCACTTTCCCTTCTGTTCCTAATAAGGAAGGGGTGAAGGGAAAGGGATTAAAATTAATCATTCGGAACGCAG